GCAGCTGCAGCAGCCGCCGCCGCCGCCGCCGCCGGCGACAAATTGGAGCTGCTCTGGGGCTCGGCGCTGGGGGACACTAGCCCCGGGGGAGTGGACGACTCATAGCCAGAGCTGGCGGCCGGGGAGGACTCGGAGCCCTGTGGGGAGGACTCATGGACCTGCAAGACAAAAGCCGGGAGGGGGGACCAGAGGGGACTGGGTGTGAGTGCAGCTGCTGTGAGGCCGGCCCCCCGGACGGAAACACCCCAGAGATGCCCCGGTCGCCCCGGGCCCCCTGGGGACTCTCCAGGGATGGTGGAGGTTATCCAGGCCGCTGCGGAGCCAGCGCACCAGGCAGGCCTGCCCTCCACCCGGCCACCGCGCTGGTACCTTCATGTGCTTGCGCAGGGAACTCGGGTGCGTGTAGGACTTGTCACACATCTTGCAGAGATAGGGCTTATCGGAGGTGTGGACGTGCATGTGCTTCTTCCTGTCGCTGCTGTTGGCGAAGCGCCGGTCGCAGCCCTCGAACTCACACTGGAAAGGCTTTTCCCCTACGAAAGGCAAACACTGGCGCTCGCTCGTAGCCGACACCCAGAACACCAGAACCTCTCCCCACCCAGGCTGCGAAGGGGCAGGACCCCAGTGAGGCCGGAGAGGGGTACAGGGACCGAGTCCCCGAGTCCCTGAGACGGATCGGATCCCCTAGATGGGAGAACCAAAATTACCCTCCTTCCCTCTCAACAGTCTTGATCATTTACTGCACATTGTACTTTCTTCCTGAGGGATGGCACCTCTGCAAATTCCTAACGGGTTTGGGTAACTCCTGGCCCTGCCATCTCTCTAACACAAAGCTTCCTAGATTCGCAGCCTCTAACAAGTTGTTCTCTCGCCACAGAGAAGCTGTTGTTATGACAAAATATTTAGGGCATTATCAAAATCACACAGGCTGCTGTCGATTTCTTTCTGGGGCCAGTAGGCAATTACATTTGGAGTTGCTGTGTTTTGTTTTGGGGGCCGGGGTGTGGATAGAGACTGAGCCAGTATTTCTCATCCAAAATTTTGCAAACTGAATTAATCACAAATTCTAGCCTTGCCTCTACTCTTTTAAAAATGAGCTGAAAGAAAAGATAAATATTAGAGATGAGGCAGCTTTCTAATCATGAGGAGGGGCACAAACTGGGAGGTGGGGGTTGGAGAGTTAAGAAAACCTTTCAGAATCTGTTTAATTTTCTGGCGGTCCCCGCATCCTGTTGCCAGAATTCCAAACGCTTGGAGTCATTTAGAGGTGTGAGAACTCCAACGTCGATCCACTTGGAAAGGGGGCCGTTTAACGTTAAATTCCATTAGCACCTAAATTGTTTTTTTTTTTTTTTTAAGACATCCGCTCAGACACTGGGCTCGAAAGCAAGCATTTCATGCAAATAAATTTCTCAAATTTTAAACCTTGTTAAAAGCTTGTCTAGCACCTCGGCTCCCTCCCTTCCCAAAAGAGAACAATAGGCCGCTGGCGCATCCCCACGTCGGAGTAAATATTGACGAGGGAAGTTGCTAAAACATTTGGCTTTCTTTTAGGAAATCGTCTGGCACGCATTTGGCTGAGACCTGGTCATAGCTGAATAATCTATGAGGCGGGAAGCGCGTTCTTTTGCGGCTCTCCGCACGTAATTCCCCCGCAGGGCCGCGCTGCCTGGGGCTCTCACTGACCGGGTTGTGGATACAAGTTTAGAATTGCAAACCCTCTGGTGCCCATTAGATAATTTCACAAACTGCTGCGCAACCACCGTTAAGTCCCCGCGACCCACCCCCAGACTGGCTTAAAAAAAAAAAAAAACTTTAAAAAATGAGAAACGCTTTACAGCTTTGACTCAACGGCCCTTTTAATGGGAAACAGTCCCGCGAAGGGCGTTTGGTCCCGAGTAAGAAGTGGGAAAATACACAAGCCGCTCAAATAGACATACACCCGAAGCCTAAAAGCACATTCACACAAGCTGGCAAAATCTTCTCTAGGCTCGCTTCCCGGGCACCGAGAGAGAACAGTTTTATGTTGTGCGTTTAATTTAGAACGGAAATTATTAACCAGGGCTGAGTAAACGAAGCCATTGCATCATCCCCGAGCATGTATTTGGTGTTTCGCAGATCATTTAAAACTCAATTTCCGCACATGGAAAAAACCCAACCCTATGGTGCTCTTTCATTGTCCAAGAAAAACAAGCCAAGCTGCCGGCTCTCTCGAACACAAAACCACCTCCTATCCCGGGGCCTAGGCTGAAGACTGGCACCCAGCGTCGGGACACGGACACACACACACACACACACTCGCAAACGGCTCGTGCATCCCTGTCTGCGGTTACCTGTGTGGGTCCTTTTGTGGATCTTGAGGTTCTCAGAGCGCGCGAAGACCTTGCCGCATCCCGGGAAGGGGCAGGGGAAGGGCTTCTCGCCTGTGTGCACGCGGATGTGGTTGACCAGTTTGTATTTGGCCTTGAAGGGCTTGCCCTCGCGCGGACACTCCTCCCAGAAGCAGACGTGGTTGCTCTGTTCTGGGCCGCCAACATGCTCCACGGAGACGTGGGTCACCAGCTCGTGCATGGTGCTGAAAGTTTTGTTGCAGCTCTTCTTGGGGTTGCTCAGTTGCTCGGGGTCGATCCACTTGCAGATGAGCTCCTGCTTGATGCACTGCTGCCGCATGTAGCGGAAAAAGGCACCCGGGTGGTGGTGGTGGTGGTGGTGGTGGGCCGCGGCAGCTGCCATGTTCATACCCATGTTCATATTCATGGGGCCGTACTGGTTGTGGAGCTGAGCCGCCGAGTAGGGGTCGGTCCGCGGGCTGGCCACCTGGCGGTACTGCTCCGAGCGCCCGAACACCTCACCCGGTAGCCCGAGGCGCATCTGCCCGTTGAGCACGTTCTGCGAGCCATGAGGCCCGTGCTGCTCCGGGAGACCAGGGAAAAGGAGGTGGCCCTGCGCGTCCGAGTGCGCGTGGTGAAGGCCGCCCGCGCCCGGTCCGAAGAGCCCATGCTGCCCTCCGCCCGGCGTGGAGTCTCCGAAACCGCGACTGCGGAACAGGAAGTCTCGGGTGGAGTTGAAGGGCGGCCCGGAGTAGGAG